GTAGACCTGGCCACACTCTCCCTCTTGCTGCAAATTCCCATAAATGACCTGGGCTTCCATAGTTGGAGGGCACAATATAAAGAGGGGGATGTATGATTTCCCCATATGTCTTCTTTGCCCTGCACCCAGCCTAGAGCTGCCATTCTCTCCTTTTCCCATCAGAGTTATCTGAGTGAGAAGAGGGACTCTGTCCTCCCACTATGTCCCCTCCCAGCACATTCAACTGCTGGCCATGGCAGCTGGGCTTTGGTAGGGAGGGACAGGAAACTGCTTCTCACGTGGCTCAAGCTGACTGCTACAGGTTATCATTCTGTACAGCGCAGTAACTACCTGAGAGAGAGCCTGGTGGTGGTAGCAGTCCCTACCCACTTCCAGCTGCTGGAGACAGGATGCAAGTAAGCCCAGAAATATGTGCAGGGGGCAGAGGGGACTCTGGCTTACTCAGCTCCTGTCCCTGACAGCCAGGCCCAGGATGGCCAGCACTGCCACACTCTTTTAGGCAGTTGCTGTACTGCACAGGGCAGCAACTCAGAATGGCCAGCATAAGAAGCGTCTGGTCCCGTCACCTCTGCTCCCTGCCTGGGCTCAGGTGTCAGGCCCTAATTTTCAAACTGTCAGGCATATAATTGTGCATCTGACTTTATAAACAAGGACCTACGAACCTAGGAAAGTAAATATAAAAGTCAGCAAAGTATCTGAAAGCTTAGGAAAAGCCAGACAGTTCCTTCAGGATAAAAGATAGCCCTATGCTTCCAAGGAGAAGATGACTATATCTTTTGTAGGATTTGAAAATATATGAACAGTTTGACAGGCAGAACTATTTGTAGTCACACTATTCGTCAACTGATTCATTCAGGAATTACTCAACCTTAGAATTAAAAAAAGCCTGCACCCTCACAAAGTTAAAAGCATAAAAAGAAGGGATAAGAAAAAATACACAATAATAAAGACATAGGATAAGGTCATCACAAGAACTGACATTTCCAAAAGCATCACAGTGATTTAGAAGCATGTGCCCAACTGAAAGTCAATAGGTCTTGTCCTCCTAAGTCACCAAGTCCCTTTTGAAAATTACACCATGAGCTATCTTCTTAAAAATTAAATGTTAACACCCCCATATTTGAGGCAGTAGCCAGAAAAAAATACATACAGTGAAGAATCAAATTGGAGTACCATATTTTTAAGACTTACATAATAAAAATTTTGCATAACAGGGATAACCTGTTAAGAATACAGCAAGGAATAAGAATCTAGCTGGTTTACTTGCCTCAAAGGCTCACAGCAGCCCTCACTTTAGATACCAGTTTGCTGTTTGTTAAGCTACTCTCATCATTGACTAGCATGGGGAAAAGAGCTATATAATCCCTCCATGTGGCACAGAGTAGGACAAATCCTTGTACCAAAGCAAGTCTCTTTTCTAGTACTGCCCTCTCCACTGGGTTCCAACCCAGGGACCTTATGATGGCAGCTGATTATAATGTCTCTAGTATCAGCTATATGACATCTATGAATCCCTGGGCAACTTCCTCACAGCTTTTCCCAGCACCTTCCTTACCACAGGCTTTTCCTTCTGCTACCTGTTTGCATGGAGGATTTAGTTTGGGTTGGTCCTGCTATGGGCAGGAGGCTGGACTTGATGACCTCCTGAGGTTTCTTCCAGCCATAGGATTCTATGATTCACCCAATTCTCCACAGCTGCTTCACACCTCAGCTTCTCATGTGCACTCAGCTAAGAGAAGAGGAGCCATTTATAACCAGTTTTAACTGGTTCTTCCTATAATTGTAGATGTAGAAGGAGTAGGAGATAGAGCTTAATCTGAGATGACTCTGACACATCTTGGAAGATGCTTTTTTGAATAAATCCCTAATATCAGTTTGCTTATTTATCTTCTGTCTCTTTTGCATAAAAGTAGAGTGTAGAATATGCATATGCCTAATGTGTTGGGCAATTTACTAGTCCCTGTTACTAGATTTGTATTAGGAGATACCAGAAATTCCAGTTAATTGAGCTCTCTGATTGAGGGCTGAATAACTGAGCTTTTATTTTACTATATGTTTACACCCTTTTCTCACCACCAAATGTGTTCCATTTTTACTCACACCAAGTAATATACTACTCTTAATATAATAGTCCTATTGATTTCAATTGCACTATTTTTGGAAGTAGTTACTGCACAACATTAAAAAGTTTGGTGCCAAGTGAGCAATGAGAATCAGATTTAATTGCCTCCAGCACCAAAAAGCAAACCTGAAGTATACCGTATTTTCCGGCGTATAACACGACTTTTGATGTTAAACATCCCCCAAAAATCAGGGGTCGTCTTATACGCCGGGTATACAGCTTTGTGGCTTTGCAAAGCCTCGGGGGAAGCCGGCGGCGGGGCAGCCCAGGCGCGCCGGGGCTGTCCCGCTGCCAGGGCGTCCTCAGAGGCTTTTCTCCCGGTGTCCCTGGTCTGCTGGGGATCGTCTCCAGCAGACCAGGGACACCGGGAGAAAAGCCTCTGAGGACGCCCTGGCAGCGGGACAGCCCCGGCGCGCCTGGGCTGCCCCGCCGCCGGCTTCCCCCGAGGCTTTGCAAAGCCACAAAGCTGTATACCCGGCGTATAAGACGACCCCTGATTTTTGGGGGATGTTTAACATCAAAAGTCGTGTTATACGCCGGAAAATACGGTACTTACTCTACTTTTGACGCTGAAAATTTAAATATTGCAAAGCAGGGTATTTAATAACATAAAATATTTTTCAGAATTATTTTACATAATTTAAATTCCTCTTTTAAACTTTTGTTTATAATACAACCTCAGAGTTTTCAACACGTTAGGAATGTAGGCTGTTGGTAACTGAGATGCTCATAACTCTCAATAAAACATGGTTGTTCTTTCACAAATTTACAACTGAACACAGACTTAATGCTGCTTTAAACCATCTTAATTTAAAAATAACAAAACATAAGAACAGCTTCTTTGCCATGCATAATCTTTTTTTAAAACCTTCTCTTTATTGTTTAATAGTTTGTTTAATACAATACTGTACTTTTTTGGGAGGGGGAGGAAGGTTTGTGTCTGCTACTGTCTTATTGCATACTTCAAGTTCCAAATGAGGTGTGTGGTTGACCAGTCAATTTGCAACTCGGAGGTTCTACCATAATTGGTTTTAATTAAAAGGACAAATATAGGTTGAACCTCTGTGGTCCAGCATAATTTTACTTAGCCTGATGTCCACTTGTCATGGGTTTGGCCAAGTTTCCAGTGGTCCCATAATGTTTGTTTACAGCCATGAATCTTAGCTCTCAGTGTTTAGTGCTGTTACTTAGTTCTAATTTACCCCTAAATGTCTTCTAAGAGCACAGTAAGCAATGGACATGTTGGATAATGGTGCTAGATAATGTTAGCCTTCTGTAGTTCAGCAAATTCTCTGGTTCAACACTGGTCAGAATAGAGAGGCGCCAGAATAGAGAGGTTCAACCTGTTCATCTTATGTAGGAGTATGACCAAATCATTTAACTGACTTCATTAGAGGTAACTAAATCATTCTCTGACTAAAGATTCATTTTTTTAAAAGTAATAAGATCTGAATGTTGTTTATCAAATAATCAGATTGAGGTTGCTACCTTAGTCATCTATAATTCATTTAGTACAAAAATCTGGGTTATTGTGATGAAAATAGTTTATCAAGCCTTGGATCAGGAACGAATCCCCCTCTTTATACCATTGCTTCCTATGGGAAAAGTGGTTTCAACTTGCAATATTTCTGTAAATCTGAGGACTTCCTAAATAAAAAACGCACTCACCTCTTTAGACCTTTTCCTTTCCTGCTCCATTTCATACTCTTCTTTAGACTTCCTGTAAAACAAACAAAAAAAAAGAATAAATATCAAAGAGTTCTGCATATTACAGGAATTCATATTGATATAATGCTGCTTAAAACACTCAAGGGACAATCTCAGGATAACAGTCATAAGCCACCAAAGCCTCCATAAGCTTTGATGACTTCAATTTGGTACTCCCAATAAAAATAGAGAACTATGACAGATGGACAGCCTGAGAAATTATAGGCCCCATTCTCCTCTGTGCATGACTAATCTGCATAGGAGAGTTTCCTGGGAATTGCTCCTTTGGGTAGTAGATTCCACCAGTGTATTACCTATGGAAGTTGCGGGGAGGGTTCCACCCCTATTAGTCACAGATAATCCGAGATCCACACAAAAGACAAGGGGCCTCTCAAAAAATATACACGGTCTCTTGACTCCATCTGCTTCTGAGCACTACTGCTCTCTCGTGATCATGAATGCCATTCATCATCCTCTGAAGGGCAGAAGTTAGGGAACTTCCACAGCATGTCATGCATTAATACAGTCTTAGACTAGTAATTTGTGCTGGTTTTTGTTGGTCCACCTGCTTGCTGCTTTTGCATGACCAGTGGGAAAGGATGATCTAAAGGAGCCACACCTGCTCTCCTATGCCAAGTCAATTGAGCTGGAACTCTGCAATAGCCTCTGCACAGAAGTTACAATAAATTGTGGGAAAGAGGAAAGCATGGTGCAAAACAGAACTCATCTAAGGGTGCAGTTTTCATCCAAACATGGACAGAGAGAGGAGTATGATATTCTGTCAATGCTGAGGAGCCATAATGCTGCTCTGACAAGGCAGATAAGAATTGTCCTAACCATTGGGATGCACGGTCCGGCGGACCACTGCTGACAAATCTCCGATCTGTTCTCAAACTGAGAGTCGGGATCACAGAGTGGGTCACAACCCAATTTTAATGGGGTTGCAGAGCTGGCATTGAACTTTGAGTCCCACCAAATCTAAATCCAAGCCCCACTGCCAGAGGCCAAAACCCAAAGGATACACTGCGTGGTGGAGCTTAGGTTAAAGACCACCCACCTGGGACTGAAGTTCTTGGGCTGTGGGGCTCTGACTTTCCTGCATGGAGTAATGGGGCTCAGGGAAACTCATCTTCACTCTCCCCACCCACGGACATGTAGTAATTATTTTTATCAAAAGGGAGTCATGGTACAATGAAGTTTGAGAAGTTCTGAGGCAGTGTTAAAAGAGTGCCTGAAAGAAGAGGACATATCAAAAGTGCTCCTGTACTCTGGCAATCCCTTCATGAAGGAAGAAGCCATTACTAACTATTGCATGTTAAAACATCCCTGAGGCCTGGCTCAGGAGCATTAGATAGGAAGGGAATGGGGAGGAATATTAAAGTGGCACACCATTTGGTATTGCTAAAATGGCTTAGTCAGAGCTGGAGGATTCAACCCTTAGCCTCTAAACATACCTGTGCTCCCCGCCCCTACCCCCGGACGCAACTAGTTATTTGTGTTTCTTCGAGTGATTGCTCATGTGCATTCCAGTTTAGCTGTGTGCATGCACAGTAGCCGGGAATATTTTCCCTAGCTGGATACTGTAGGTCAACTGTGATTTCTGGTGCTGACTCCTGCGCCGAGGGTCGCGGCAGTGCTGTTGTCAGTGATTTTCGTGGTAAGCTGGGCCCTGGTGCCGATGTGCTGCAGCTTAGCTTTGCTTTCTACGGGTTGTGAGCCGAAGCTGTCTCAGGCTTATCTCCGACACTAATATGCGTCGGTGGCAGCAAGCGAGTTGAAGAAGACCTACTTTTTGACATAGTGAGAGATCCTGATGAGTTGGCCCAATGTTTCTTGGTTTTGAACCGGGTCCGAGTCCGGTGGGGAGGGATCAGTTTGAGAGGGCTGCAGCACCCTCTTAAATAAAAGCATTTCAAGCCTTATCTCCCTGTCCCTTCTTGATCACGCCGTCAGTTTTGAACAGTGGGGGAATTTTTGTGGGATATGCCCTTCGCCCAAGCACTTAATACAGCAGAAACATTCGTCTGAGGCGGGAATGGCTTACCGACAGGCACATTTTTTAAAACTGGGCGATCCCAGCATGGTTATCCATCCAATTGTTGTGTTATCTAATAGTTATTCTTTGTCTCTTTTTGTGTGTGTGTGCGTGTGTGTGTGTGTGTGTGTGAAGGCACAGTACGTGTCTACTGCCTTTTTTTTTTTTAAACGGTTATATAACTACTACCAACTAACTACTAACTAACAATGAACTACTAATATTATAACTAACTAACTAAGAATTAACTGCGAATTGTTTTTGTCACAGAAGCTGAGGAGAGAGAGAGATCCCTCTGTCTGCAGCCAAGGACGGTTGGGAGGAACTGGCAGGAGCAGGACCGTGTGCTCTAACAAACAGCATGAATGGCACGAGGCACCTAGTGAGCACACATGATTGGGCAGACCACTGCTGACAAATCTCCGATCTGCAGCACCGGGACAAGCCTGACACCTACAGTGGAGCACCCATGGGGACACCACTCGATGAAGAACAGGTAAAGAGAGTTACTCACCTTGTGCAGTAACGTCTGTTCTTCGAGATGTGTGTCCCCGTGGGTGCTCCACTCGAGGTGCTGGGCTCGTCCCGGCGTCGCAAACTGGAGGATTTTTCATTAGCAGTAGCCCCCTACCGGACTGCACATGCGCGACGGCCCCTTCACGCCTTTCATCTGAGCGCAGTCCGGTCTTGTCAGTTTCCTCCCAACCGGAAGCATCTGAAAGATATATAAATAGAAGCTCCGAAGCAGGGAGGAGGGTGGGTCGTGGAGCACCCACGGGGACACACATCTCGAAGAACAGACGTTACTGCACAAGGTGAGTAACTCTCTTTTCTTCATCGACTAATGTCCCCGAGGGTGCTCCACTCGAGGTGAGTACACCGCAGTGGTCTAACATTACATGAGTGCTTCGGGCCTATCGTCCTCGTGCTGTAGACAAGACAGCCTGAGCTACCCTTGAATCAGAGGTAAGTATGTTCGCGAGGGCGTAGTGTCTAGCAAATGTGAGGGTAGATGACCAGGTTGCCGCACGGCATATGTCCTGCAACGGTACTCCGTGAAGATAGGCAATGGATGTCGCCATGCCCCGGGTGGAATGAGCACAAAGACCACTTGCAAGGCATAACATTGTGTGATGCAAGCGACGACCAGGTGGGAAATACGCTGCGCAGAAAGTTGCTTTCCCTTGGAGCGCTCGGCTGTAGAAAGGAAAAGCCGCTGAGACGTCCTAAAGACTTGAGTTCTGTCCAGGAAAAAGGCCAGTGCTCGCCTGACATCTAGAGTGTGCAGATGTGCGTCTTCCAATGAGAAGTGAGGCTTTGGGTGGAAAGTCGGCAGGGTTATAGGTTCATTTATGTGGAAAGCAGAATTGACTTTTGGCAAAAACGCTGGTTGAACACGCAATACTGCCGCATGACTGAAGAATTGCGTATACGGCGGATCGGCAGAAAGAGCTGCTAATTCACTTACTCGACGCGCCGATGTAATGGCAAGTAGGAACACCGTTTTCATCGTAAGCATTCGTAGATCACATGTTGCGAGCAGCTCAAAAGGGGAGTGAGTCAGTGTGTCCAATACTAGAGGCAAGTCCCAAGGCTCCGGTGGGATCCTATGGGCCGGACACAGATTGCCTAATCCTTTCAGAAACCTTTTGGTGATAGGGTGGGCGAACATTGAATGGCCGTCAATTGGAAGACGGAAGGCTGAGATTGCCGCCAGATGTATTCTTAGAGAAGAAATAGCCATTCCCATCGTCTTTAGATGTATCACATAATCTAGGATTTGTTGTATAGACAGCGAATGAGGGTCAAGATCTTTTGCCAAGCACCACGAAACGACGCCATTTTTGTAGATAGGCTTTACGCGTCGTATGCCGCCTACGTGTTGATCAACACGAGCCTCACTTCTTGAGAACAGGAGAGTTCGGAAGCCTGGAGCCAGCTAGGAGCCATGCCGTGAGGTGCATGCGGTCGATGGCTGGGTGAAGAATTGTGCCGTGTTGCTGAGAGAGCAAATTGAACAGTTCCGGTAGTCGTCGTGGATTGGCAACTGACATCTTCGACAGCTGTGTTAGCCAGGTCTGTCTGGGCCAGAAGGGTGCTATCATAATTACTGTTGTGCCGCCTAGTGCTATCTTTTCCAGAACTCTTGGAATGAGTGGAAGAGGAGGAAAGGCATATAGCAATTGGTGCCGATCCCAGTCCAGGAGGAAGGCATCCCCCAGAGAGTCTGTGCCTATGCCCGCTCGTGAGCAATATTGAGGGTATTTCCTGTTGTGTCAAGTGGCGAACAAGTCCACCTTGGGGAAGTCCTATAACAGGAAGAGGTCGCGGAGCACCTCGGGGTGTAATTCCCACTCGTGTTGTAAGAGGAAATGCCTGCTCAGAGCATTGGTATCAGCGATCACATTGTCCTTGCCAGGAAGGTATGCTGCGGTTATGGTGATACCTTGTTGAATAGCCCAATTCCACAGGTGCACAGCCTCTGCACAAAGAGCGGGAACGTGACCCCCCCCGTTTGTTGATGTAATACACCGTGCATATGTTGTCGGTGAGAATCTGTATGGAGCGTCCTCGGATGATGGGCAGAAAGTGTTTGCAAGCATTGAAGACTGCTCTCAGCTCGAGAAAATTTATATGATGTAGCGATTCCTGGGGCGTCCAGAGATGCTGCGTCCGGTGTTCCTGAAGGTGAGCGCCCCAGCCGAGCAGAGAGGCATCTGTGGTGATTTGCAGTGATGGTTTGTGGGCATGAAAGGGGACCCCTGTTAGCATATTGTTGGGGCTGTCCCACCATGCCAAGGAAGTCCGGACCCAGCTGGGCAGAGAAACCAACCTGTTCGTACTGTGAACCTGGGGCGTGTACACGGTGAACATCCAATGCTGAAGACTGCGCATATGGAGTCTGGCATGAGGAACCACATACGTGGTGGCCGCCATGTGCCCCAATAGCTGTAGATGGGTAAGTATTCGGGACTTGG